TGCTGGCCAGTGGTCGCTGCGTGCCTGGTTGCTGGCCAGTGGTCGCTGCGTGCCTGGTTGCTGGCCAGTGGTCGCTGCGTGCGTGGTTGCTGGCCAGTGTTCGCTGCGTGCCTGGTTGCTGGCCAGTGTTCGCTGCGTGCGTGGTTGCTGGCCAGTGGTCGCTGCGTGCGTGGTTGCTGGCCAGTGTTCGCTGCGTGCCTGGTTGCTGGCCAGTGTTCGCTGCGTGCCTGGTTGCTGGCCAGTGTTCGCTGCGTGCCTGGTTGCTGGCCAGTGGTCGCTGCGTGCCTGGTTGCTGGCCAGTGGTCGCTGCGTGCCTGGTTGCTGGCCAGTGGTCGCTGCGTGCCTGGTTGCTGGCCAGTGGTCGCTGCGTGCCTGGTTGCTGGCCAGTGGTCGCTGCGTGCCTGGTTGCTGGCCAGTGGTCGCTGCGTGCCTGGTTGCTGGCCAGTGGTCGCTGCGTGCCTGGTTGCTGGCCAGTGGTCGCTGCGTGCCTGGTTGCTGGCCAGTGGTCGCTGCGTGCCTGGTTGCTGGCCAGTGGTCGCTGCGTGCCTGGTTGCTGGCCAGTGGTCGCTGCGTGCCTGGTTGCTGGCCAGTGGTCGCTGCGTGCCTGGTTGCTGGCCAGTGGTCGCTGCGTGCCTGGTTGCTGGCCAGTGGTCGCTGCGTGCCTGGTTGCTGGCCAGTGGTCGCTGCGTGCCTGGTTGCTGGCCAGTGGTCGCTGCGTGCCTGGTTGCTGGCCAGTGGTCGCTGCGTGCCTGGTTGCTGGCCAGTGGTCGCTGCGTGCCTGGTTGCTGGCCAGTGGTCGCTGCTGCTTCTTGTGACAACTTTTGTTATTTACTCGTTTAGTAACTTTCTAAAAAGATTGCAAGCGTATCAAAGTTGCTACGAACATCCACGAGAGAGGCAAATTCTTTACAAGTCTCTTGCATGATGGTTTACTCTGCGGTACAAGCTGTTGTGGACATCTCTGGTCAGACCACAACTGTGGCTGATCGTAGACTAAATGAAAAGGGTGAATTATCGCAGATTTTCAATAGTAAATACACAGAAGCCTTCATAGCAACATTCAGGCTACCTCAGGACTCGTGCGTGAACTGTCTCTAGTTAATCATCGCATATGACTTGAAGCAAGGAACAATGACACTATTGTCACCCAGTTCGTCGACGTAATTAATTTACTATTACCTGGAAGTAGGCAGTCCAAACCTACAGACTTGTTAGACTAACGAGGGAAGCGAACATGCCTAATTCTGACAGTCGGAGGGAGGAAGGGAAAGTGCAGATGGCATCCAAGCTTGACAAAAGCCTAGTCGGCACGACAATATGAATATAAGGTAACGAAGGTGGAATAAGACTCGGTCCCACCCATGGATTAGGTATGAGGTGCATAATAAATCAATGGAATGGGGAACATAAAAGGGGAGCCTATTACTGTAGACACTGACACGAGACGGGACTAACAAATGGCTAGAAGGCACAATTCCACTAGATAAATTAAAGTAAGGATGGTCAAAAGTAACATTGAATGTGTTACAGTTCCGGGAAGTAGCAGCTGGCTTAACACGAAGCCTCCACACGATGATGAGCCAGACCCATCATGCATCCTGGCCGGGAGCCGGCGGCTGAGCGGACAGAACACTGGACGCGTGATCCTGTGGTCCCGGGTTCGATCCTGGGCTCGGCGAGAAACAATGGGCAGAGTTTCTTTCGCCCTTATGCCCCTGTTATCTAGCAGTAAATAGGTACCTGGGAGTTAGTCAGATGTCACGGGCTGCTTCCTGGGGGTGGAGGCCTGGTCGAGGTCCGGGCCGCGGGGACACCAAGTCCCGAAATCATCTCAAGATAACCCTGCTAACACTGTCAACCAAGTGTACAGGAACTAACAACGCTCGAAACAAGACCTTTAGCTTTGTGGCAAACATCTCCTGTTTGTATTAGATTCAGCTACACAAAACAAAAAGATCAAAGTAGCACAGGCTATGGTGAGCCCGTAGTGGACTTACCTGACAGGAGCGGGGCTGTGCAAACATCTCCTTAACAGACAAGTCGTATAAACTTACGGGCTATTCATGCCCGTGCCACCTCTTGTGTGGCTTAATCTTCTTCAATCCGTCAGGTGTGATGGTGAAGATCTCTACGTAATCTCCAAGCTACACAGTGAAGGTGATCTTCAGTTCTGACAGAGCCTTAGAAATAAACTTGCACAGTAATTTCGAAATCAAAGACGCTCCAGAGATACAGAAGTACATCCCGCTTCTTGGTGTATATACTGAGAGTGAACTGTTTCGGATTAAAATATACTTGCTGGTCAATAAGCTTTTGTGGTGGTCTTAATAACCCTCCGGTGGTCAATAGGCCTTAAGCCCAACAAACCAAAAATTACGGGACACGAGTGGACCTCCTTGGAGACTTGGACCAGCACAAAACAATTTACTTCTAACAACAATAAAATGAGCAAATGTACAACAATAAAGCAGTGTTGACACCGCACAGCAAGCAGTACTGGAGACTGGTAAGTGTCCACCAGGACCCACGGGCCAAGGCCACAAGCATCGACCCTGCTAGATACAACTCACAGGAGTGTCGGTGGCACAGCGCAGGCAACACCAGCTCCAAGAGGCAAACATTGCCATAACACCGGCAACTGTTTCCCCGGCGTGAGACTGCGCTCCCCAGCACGCGCAGCTCCACAGTATACACCACTCTAATTTGAATCGTTTATTTTTTTCCCCCTACCTCCTTTTACCCTCACCTAAGCTTTATATATGTGTATATATCTACATATCTCTCTCTCCTTATTTATATCCTCATTTATAAATTTATCCACCCATCCTACTCCTATTTAAAACCTTCGGTCAAAAAACAAAACAAAACAAAGATGTGTACATTCCTTCAAAGTTATTCGTAAACGAAGTGAAATTCCACATTAGACATAATCTAAGTGTCCATTTTTGTAAGTCTGGAAACCAAAGATTTTGTTGTCAGTTTTTCTTATAATTATTGGCATACAGTCTTCAAGAATACGGCCGTAAGATAAAATAATAGTAATATATTGCATGGCCTGAACATGGATGTCTTTTACACTGCAACGCTGGAATTAATGTGGTGCTAGATTTTTTTTATATTATTATTATTATTATTAACTGATGTGGAAATACCGGACGTGTGGAGCCTGTATTATTTTGTTTACTTGTAGCTGGAGACTTTTATTTTGTATTTAAAGAATGATCAAAGAGGAACTTTTATTCCAGGAAGTTTTATGTAGTCACCAGTTTGTATATTTTCTTGTGACTGTATAAGCAAAGAGAGGGAGGGAGGTGATAAACGGTGTTTATATGGTAACTGGGTTATCAGATAGGAGGAACACCACCCAGTATTTAAAAATTACTGCATTATTAACTAGTCAAATTAACACTGGAGTCTTTATAGTTATTTAAGAGTTCATAGATTTAATTTACATTACATGCACGAACGTACAGTACTTGGGGAGGAAGGAGCCCTTGACATCACTTGTAAGGGCTCCTTCGGCCCTTGTGGACTTCTTCATTGATGCATCACGCTATTTCTGTGATTGTGATTTCTGTGTGTAATGAAGGGCGAAGAGGTAGAACGGCCTATTGACATATCTCGAGTGCATGGAAGAGTTGTGTAAAACCCTGGTTTGCGTCTCGGAGAGGCTGCAGGATCCAAGAAGTCCAGTAGAACTTCTGGTTTCAACTCTTTTTGACAATGTCGCAGCTCAGTCGATTAAGGCAGCGTTTGGGAAGATCTCGGACGTAGGTTCGAATCCTCGTCACGGCCCTAGTGGATTTGTTCCCTTGACAACAGTCTGTTGTTCCTAGTAGTCCGCTAGATTTGGTGACCCCTGAAAATCCCTGTGAACACGCTCGAACAAAGCAATTACTAGATGTATCTAGAACCACGATGTCTCATAATTCCCTAGTATTATGAGGGCTCTCAGGGACTGGGGTGCGGTTCCGCTAGCAGCTGTTGGCAGCCTACTGGTCTTCTCCCCTACCGCACCACCACTTAACTTCTTGAACGAGTCTATTAGCATTACCACGGGCATTTAACATGGTAATGTGGTGTCTAGACGCGCAGTAACCAGGGTGGTGGTTTTTGCAACTGTAAAATAAGCCACAGGATGAGGGGAAAATATTGAGAAACAGTTTCTCAATCTTGTAACCACTCTGGAACCATGGTAAAGTTCACCCTTATCCTTAACAACGTTCAATATATAATATATATTAGACGTTGTTCAGATATATGTATGTGTGTATACGTGTGTGTATATGTATTAAATATTAAAATGTTCCTGTTCTGGTACTGTGTGAGAGATGGGGGTTCATTTTTTTTTTCAATATGTCGATCGTCTGACATTGCTTCGCTATAAAACATTTCTTTAATACCTATGTTAATCAAAATTTAGTAAACAAAAAAATCTACGGTGCCAGTAAATTGAGTTTATATTAATTAAAACACAAGCTATTGTGACTATAACAGTTGAAAGAGATAATGATTTGGGGGGGGGGAGGTTGGAATGTTGCTCAACCATTTGGACGGTCGGGTATTGAACGCCGACCTGCATGAAGAGACCGTCGCTCTACCGTACAGCCCAAGGGAAGGGAAATAGTAACGTACAATATAAAGAAGTGTTGGGTGTGGTGTGTTGCGAGTGATGATTGATGTTTTGTATATTGACCTTTTATCAGAGTAGCCAAAGATGTTCTTGAAGCAATTTATTCGTCAGACACAAGGCAGGTCGTTCCTGTATTCTGTGAAGAGATTCCTGTTATTCCCATGATGTGCATAGAATTTTTGAATAAGGTACAAATGTTTAAAATTAATGTTTGTAACGTATTATAAATCGTGTTATGTTCGTATACATTTGTGTAACTATTAAATTTGTATGTATGGATGGAAGTAGTGTACGCTCTTTCTTCCTGTGTTGGTAGGCAGTATTTTTCAGTACTATTCACAGTTCGTGTCTACCTCTTCCCCTACAGCGCCCCTAAGCGGGTTGGAGGCACGGCCGTGGCTTCCCAGCTCTACCGCACCTCTTCCTTCTCCTCCGGCCGCTCCTCTGTAGCTGATCAGGAAGATATGTACTCTGACGCATCTCTTGAGGACGACGTACTCGACCTCAACCATAAGGTCAGCGAGAGCACCTGAAATACACCCGCAATGTTGGTGATGCGGCCGCTACCATGTTTTGAAGCCTATTCGCGTGGCGCCGCCGCATGCCAATTTGACGCACTCGTAGATAGCTTCTCTATGTAGAGTTGCCGATGTTTTGACAGCTTGGGAGTTGTGGTAGCAGTAGTGCATGCTTCTTGTTGCAGGAAAAACATTAACCTACGTCTTTCTCACTTTCTCTTTGTTTTCAGATGAAATGCTTGTTTCGTGGGATAATTTCTATTGAGATAAATTGCTTCTCTTTCGGTTGCAGAGTTTGGAATGCTTTACCCTGCTGCTGCTTATTCTCTGTATATTAGGAAACGCTTTATTTTCTATCCGGTACAGCACTATATTCTCTCTTACGTAGCCTAACCCGGCACATGTGATGCATGTATAGACATAACACTTGGCACAGTTGTAGTACTTGAACACTGATGGTTCCTCCCTGTGTGGCCACACCAGTAGGGAGAAACCTAGGGTGTCGGAGGAGGACCTGATGTTCCTCCACCCGGACCACACCGAAGACGCAGAGTACCTCAACGCCAAGGTGAGTGAGTCTGCAGATGTCGGAGTACACCAACCTCGGCAAGTCAGATCCAGGTACTTGGGAGTATCCAGTGAGCAGGTTGGAATCATCTTCAGGCCGTCTTCACAAAGGTCAAAAGTCCATTCCATGTCCCCGCCACCCCCTCCCCCCTGTTTATGAAAAACGGTTTACACAAGACTCTCAACTGATAACGTTCGAACGCTTCTCTTCCCCCCCCCCCCCACTCCCCACAAAAGTGTTTAGCTGACGACTTTTGTTCGAACCACAACGCTTTAAATGTTTCACTAAAAGTAATCGCCATCAGAACCTAAACACCTAACCTAACCAATGCCTAAATATGCACACTATATAACAATATTAATTTATATTTGAGGAAATTCCTATTTTGAATGAACAGTATGTTAAAATTGATAAATGCGTCTTTGGGGTAGACCGCTGGATGGAATGGACTTGGTGTGAGGACGGGTTGGTTTCCTACTGATTTCCTCAGATCCAGGTACTTAGTTTCCCCGCGAGTTATTGAGTTCTTAACAAAGTCATTAAGACGGTATTAGATAAAAGTAATTAAACTCGCCAAGCCCGGAATATTATTTAGCATGCCTTGAGCCAAGATTAAATTAGTATTTAATAAGGTTGCGCTGTTCTCGGGCTGTCACTTAGACGTATACAAAGTTTCTGAAAATGTTAGCCTGTACAACGAACTTTACTTGTTGACCAGCTAAATTTTCCCCATGACGTTTAAGTGATCTTTTGAAAATGGTTGAATAATGAGATCCAAGTCTTGGTTTTATAGCTAGCAGTGACGCTAAGCTCTTTTTATGATAATAACTTTATCATAAATACATTTTGAAATGAAGTCTTAAAGCTAATATATTATTTGTTTGCCTCCCGCAGAACACACTAAATATCCAGCAATCATGTTTACAGTGAAGAATAGATTTGGAATTGCGTTGCTTGCGCGCACAAGCAACGTTGCGTGGGCAAGCAACGTTGCGTGGGCAAGCAACGTTGCGTGGGCAAGCAACGTTGCGTGGGCAAGCAACGTTGCGTGGGCAAGCAAGAGGGTTGCTACTATATTAAGTTTTGCGGAGATTATTTTTATTGGTTGTCAGTGTTAAGCAGAAAGAGGACGTGAATGGTACAAGTTTATATAGTGGGAACATTCTAGAACCGTCGAGTGTAATTGGTTAGCATGATTAGAATATTCACAAGTTGTTGTATGGACCAAAAGGTGGTTCCTACACCCACTTACCAGTACCAAGTGTAAACATCGGTGTTATGGCCAACGTTGTGGAAAACAAAAACAAATTAGGAGTCACATTGAATCAATGTTTTCCTTAAACGGTAATTAAAGGTACAAATATGATTTAAACAGGTGGCCATAGTCCCTCGGTAGCTTCGGACCCTACACTAGATAGAACGGAATAAAAATAAGTAAAGGGGTGAAGTGAAAATTAGAAGAATGAGGTTGGCCTCTTCAAGAGTTGTCAGATACTGTAGTTTTAGGCTGTTATCCTTACTACATTGAATATTTTTTTTATTAATATGAGGTACATCTGCATTAGTGCAGCTACCCTAGACTATATGAAGAGGAGTACAGCATTGAATATCACGTTTTACAGTCTGCGTACTCTTAGGTCCCTAGTCATCAAACTTTATATATATACTGATAAAATAAAGGGAAAAGTCATAAGCACGGGTCTAGGTGCACTCTAGTGAAGAAACTTCAGTTGTCGCGAACCCAGAGGTCTTGGGAATTTTACACAAGCCTCCATTTCTCATAAGTAACCCTGCTGTGATCGGTTGCAATAACATTGCACATTATACAAAGGTAAAAAAAAGCTGATAAACCTTTGTCTACTTTTTTTTGTAGGAAGTTAAATATTGCTTTAGAGTAGGGATTTACTGATCTTTGAGCTATACAATTGTTTACAAAATTAGACAGTTGAGAATAGAAATGCAGCGTTTGCTTTCGCGTTTGATGTGAGAGTAATAAGGAATAACGCGGGCTGGAGAGGAGGGGAGGTGGATATTAACACTTACTCTGCCACAGTTATAATAAATCAAAATACTGTTAGTGTAAACTTGCACTTTAAGAGTGCATTTAGATTTATTGCAGTCTCGGGTACCTGTGAGACTGAGAGCAGTGCCAGCCAGTACTACCGTGTCGACAACTTTCCTCCCACTTCAACAAAGTTAGCCTCCTATCCTAGGCTTTAAAGCGTTGCTGACACCGGCGCCCAGACTTGGAATTACCCTTAGGGACTTCACTTTAAAACATTACATTCTAATCATAATCGTACACGAAAATGAACTGCTAGTACTAATGTTTGAATAAACAATTTAATGTATGATTTTCCCCTTACGGGAGCGCTATAAAATACTAAACTTTGCACGTTGTGTACATGTAACATAGCATTCCTTGCAATACGGAACCCATTGTGGAGAACAAAGAAAGGAAACAAGGTGGGGTGTCGTTGTGTTGAACTGTGGCCTGGAGGGGATGGGTGGAGGGTCCTAGTGTGTTGTGTGTGTAGGAGGAATCCTTGCCTTGGTACCTACTTGGTGAGGCTAGTTGTTGTTGGGTGATGGTGACGCACGTTGTGGTGGTGGTGCTTATACGATGAGGACGTTATTGTACTGTTGTTGGTGACCCGAGTGTTGTGTTGTGGTGGTGGTGGTGAACAGAGGTGTGCTACTGTGGTGTTAGTGTTGGAGAAGCAACCAAAGTGGTGGAAGGTGACGGTGGGGGGGGAGAGTTTTAGCACAGCTTTGTGTTTAGTACCGGCCATTGTAGTTGCCAACAAATTGTCAGTTATTACTGCTAATGCGTTTATCATGGCAAAAAAAGAGGTTCGAATATAGACCACCTCATTAATTGTATAATTATTCGACGGGAGTTGATTTTCTGTTTATTCAGTAGTTTCTTTTTTTTGTAAGAGGACTATGTTGGTATACTTATGTCTCATAAAACATTATAATATTCTTGTGTAAGAATAATTGCGTTGTTTTTTACGAAACCTGTAAATAAATGTGTGCTCTCTCGGGGTTTAAACCTTTGAATCTGGAATACACACAGATATTATTAATTGACAAAAATTAATATTTAATCCTTCTGTTAAAGGATTCAAACATTTAATTTTAATTAATTTTATTGACGCTTCATTACACAGGGTAAGGGCGATCTTGAGCTACTCTGCAGTGGTTCAACCTCCTCCCACACTTCCATGGCGTCATATATACTTAGGGAATCATGCTAGTTATTGTACCTGACTGAGGCGTTCTATTTTTAATATTTATCTTTAAAAAATAATAGATGACATTACTCTTACCGGGATAAAAGCGCTAAGCCTTTGTGACTAGTATTTTTTTATTTATTTAATAATGTAAATGTGATTTTATATTGTATATCAATTTACAAGGGAAAATACTACATCTATATATAGTTTATATAATCCTCGGTAAACCAATTTCTCGTATCACTGAGCCCAAGCCGTAAACCTCAAATGTTATACTTGATCCTGCCTCGCAAGAACTTTAATATTTTGTCTGAGTAACCCTCCTGCCTGCTTATCCACACACAAAAAATGTAATCATAAGTACTTGTATAGAATTATTGTATTCTTAATTTTCTTGTATTTTGATATGAAACATTGAAAACCTCATTGGTGATTGGAAGGACTATGAGAACATGGCGCTGGGTACGAGAACAGTGAAGGAACGGCATCCATCCACCTTTACTAGTGGCTCAAACCCTGATCCCGCTAGAGACGAGACAGTCGTCATGTCGATGGTTCTAAATGGATAAACATTACTCGTAAATGGAAATGAGATGCTTCACAAGGGACGCACATTGCGAGTGTATGGAACCAAAAATCTTAAAATTTAACCTTCTTGTCAATGTCGGTATTTTATCGTTTGTGCATTTTGCCAGAGGATTTTGTTTGAGAATTTTATATTCATACGTGCCTTCCCATGTTCTTAACTTTTTAACAGAATAAAACAAACTAGTTGGTCGGTCAGTCACACAAACAGTTGTTGGGTTGTGTGACCGTTATGATGTCCCGAGGGTAGACGATAATGCTAGTAGGAGGGATAGGGGACATTGTGATGGCAGGGAGGATAATGCTGATGGCAGCTGTGAGACAGGTCTGTAGCATGGAAGGATGCAAAATACAGTAATACTAAGATACGGTGTTCCACGAGTTGATTCAGTGTTTGTGTAGGGATGTTTTGATGTTCAATCAACGTGGCTAATTGAAAATAATAAAGGTATGTGTAAAAAAAATATACCAGCCAGCAGAGTTAAATTACGATAATCTGAAATGAAAATATTTAGTGTAAATTACGTGTAAAAAAAAAATGAATGCATACAAATGCTAATGTGAACACATTGCTATACTACAGAAAGTTAAATCAAAAGGTGAAT